GTCTTTGAGTTTTGTCAGTTTGATTATCACATTTTGGAGAGGACCTTTTTGGGTTGAATGTGTTTGGTGATCTTTGGGCTTCCTGAATCCAGAGATCTGTGACTTTCCCTATACCTGGGAAGTTTTCTGCTTATTTCATTGAATATGTTTTCAATGCCATTTCCTTTTTCCTCCCCTTCTGGAATACCCATGATTGGGATATTTGAGCATGTAAGGTTGTCAGTTGTCTCTCTTAAATTTTTTTCAATTTTTTTGATTCCTTTTTCTGGTCTGCCTGTGATAATTCAAACAGCCTGTCTTCAAGGTCAGAAATTCTCTCTTCTGCTTGTTAAACTCTCTGTTGTGTTTTTTATTTTGCTGAATGAATCGTTTAGCTTCATCAGCTCAGCTACATTCTTTTTCAGGGCATTGATTTCTTTGTACATTTCTTCTTTCAGATCCTGTATATTTTTTCTCATTTCATTGTGTTGTCTGAGTTTTCTTGTATCTCATTTTGTTTCCTTAGAATAGTTACTCTAACTTCCTTGTCTGTCATTTCAAAGACTTCTTGTTCTATAGGATCTAGTGCTTGAAAGTTATTAATTTCCTTTGGTGGTGATGTGCTTTCTTGATTTTTTCATATTTCTGGTATCTTTCCTTTTGTTTTATGTCATTGTTGCCAGGGGTATCACAGTCCACTCATTTCATCTGATGTCTGGCTTGGATTCTGAAGGGACTGCTGCTTCTGGGCAGCAGAAACTATTCTTGGCCAGAAATCCCACCCTGCCTGCATTCTTCTGTATGGCTGGCTCAGAGTGTGGGGTCCCTGAGCCTCTTAGGACTCTCCTGGTGGCAGGGACAGCCTGGGCTGGAAGTCATGCCCTGCCTGCCTTCTCCGGCTGGGCTGGCTCAGGGTGTGGGGGCATGGAGCCTCTTAAGTCACTCTCGGAGATGGGGACCAGCCTGGGCCAGAAGTCCCACCTGGCCTGCCTTTTCCTGCTCAGCTGGCTCAGGGTTTGGGAGCCCCTAGGCTGCTAGGTGTCTCCTAGAAGTGGGACTGGCCTGGGCTGGAATTCCCATCCTGCCTCCCTTCTCTTGTCCGACAGGCTCGGGGCATGTGGGCCCAGAAACTCTAAAGTCTCTCTACGGAATGGGGAGCAACCTGAACCGGGGTCCCACAGTGGGCGGTTCCTCTCTGCTTCAGCACAGATCTTGGGTCCTCTGTTGCGGTTCCTCAGTAGCTGCAAATTGGTCACTCTGTGGGAGATAGTGACACCAGGAACTGACTACCATCTTGGCCAGAACCATCATAATGCTCAATTTTATACTGTGTTTTTCACATAACAATAAGTGAAAACAGAGCCGAAATCAGTTTTGCAGTTATTCTCTGCAGCCCAGGTTATTGGAAGTTGTGGTTAGTCATAACCTGAAAGAAAGTGTTAAAGGTAACTAGAATCTGTTTTATGATGTAAAGTTAACACCTCAAATTATTGGAAGATTAAATTACCTACTCAGTTCAGAATTCAAGATGATAAGCTTTGCTTATTGGGTTATTTACTAAATTACATTTAGGTGTTAAGCCTTTACGTATGGTCCCAGGAGGAGCCCTGGCAGACTATATAAATTCAGCCACTAATCAGTTTTTCACTTAAGAGCTCTCAATATAAATGTAGAGAAAAAAGGACAAAGAAACGATACAGAGGACTAGGCAAAATTAATGTTGAATTGACTTTATTTGCAGTGTCAATTGTTATATATAACTCTCAGGCTGCACCCAAACCATTTAAATATATGTAACAAGATAAATAATCTAGAGGTTAAAAAAATCTTACAGCTAGTATTTCTTATTTTGTCCTCTATAGAGACACTTTTGGAGATTTAGGAGTACTTGAGTTAGAAATCAGATGAAAAGTATTTAATAGAATAGAGTTAGTGGGGAAGAAGAGATCATTCTTTTAGGGCTCTGTTCAACCCACTAGAATCATTTTATTCTTTGCAGGGTTGAACGTCAGCTAGCTCACTCTCCATAGCTTTGGCTTTTGTCAGATGGGGTAAATCACATACTAAGGCAAGAAGAAAATGGAGGAGGGCTAAGGTTGCTTGTCACATGATAGCAAAAACACCTGACTTTGTCCCTGAGACATGTCAAATGTTCAGGGTGAGTCGCTGAAATGATAGCATTGTGGGCTTTATCTTTTCACAGGAAATACTAGGACAGAAAGCTGAAATTATTGTGATTTTTAAACTAGGAATGCTCTGGCAGTGTATTTATTTGAAAGGCAAGAAATTGTGATTTTAGAATTGGCTCTAGAAGATTTTAAAGACATACCATATATATCTGAATATGAAGTAACCCTGAGAATAAGATGATCTTCCCTTTTTTTCGGAGATAAAAATAACTGAAAAAGTTTTTTGGTGGCCAGTACAGATATCAAGAACCTACTGTGTACCAGGAATTATTCTAGGCTCTGGGGATACAGAAAGAAAAAAGAAATGGGGGGAAAAGAGAGAGAGAGAGAGAGAGAGAGAGAGAGAGAGAGAGAGAGAGAGAGAGAGAGAGGGAGGAATCACTACCCTCCTGGAAATTACATTCTAGGTTACATAATAAATTAAATGAAGGGTAGTAAGCGCTATGCAGAGAAATAAAGCAGGGAAAAATCCAGAGGAACACTGGGTGTGAGTGTGTGTGTGTGTGTGTGTGTGTGTGCACGCACGTGCCCATGCACATTGGGGTGGGAAACAAGTTGGGGTGCTACCTCACAAAGTGACACTAGAGCATAGATTTAGATGAGGTGAGAGAGTGGGCCATGCAGATATCTGGGGCAGAGACCACCAGGGAGGAACATGTCTAGCATGTTGAAGGAACAGCAAGGAGACCAGGGTGGCTGAAGCGGAGTGGGTGAGAAGGGAAGGTAGTAGGAGATAAGGTCAGAGGAAATGATGAGGTGAGGATGAAAAGATTAAAATCCAGGTTGACCATCTGAAGTCATAGGGAGAATTCCCCTATTAATCTGTCTCATGTCAGTTCCAGCCGCAGACACTGACACCATGCAACTTTGACACTATATACCTGGAGACAGCATCAAATTCCACAAGCTGAGGGCTCAGTCCCACAATGCTGCCCTCCACTTCCAATGCCAGTTGCAAACCCCAGGTTGTTTTATCTGTGCTTCTGACCTATCAGCTATAAATTGGGGTTCCCACAACCTCCTCTTTGGGTTCTACTGATTTGCCAGAATGGCTCATAGAACCCAGGGAAACACTTATGTTTATTGTAAAGGATATTAGAAAAGACACAGAAGGAGAGATGCATAAGGCAAGGTATGGGAGAAAAGGCATGGAGCTTTCATGCCCTTTCTGAGTGAGACACCCTCCAGGAACCTCCATGTGTTCAGCTATCTAGAAATTCCCCAAGCCCTGTCCTTTTGGTTGTTATGGAGGCTTCATTACATAGGCATGACTGATTACATCACTGGCCATCAGTGATCAACTAACCTTCAACCCCTCTCCCTTCCCCACAAGCTGGGGGATTGGGCTGAAAGTCCCAACCCTTTTGTAAAGTTTTGGTCTTTCTTGTGACCAGCTCTCATCCTGAAGCTGCCTATGGGCTGCCAGCCATCAGTCAACTCATTAGCATACAAAAAGACACTTGCCACTTTGAAGAGTCCAAGGATTTTAGGAGTTGTATACCAGGAATCAGGGATGAAGACCAAACATAAATTTCACAATATTACAGGGCTGAACGCTTATATACTAGGTTGGACAAAGAGTAATAAATTGTGTAAATGTGACAAGACAAAGGAGTTTGGGCTTGGACAGTTAATTGTGGAAAAGTGACTGGGAAGATAGGGTTAGTTTAACAAAGTCCATTCCTCAGGTTTCTGTTGGCCTTGACTCCTGTCTCTGGTGACAAGACTGAATTCCTTTCTCCTGGTACAGGGAGTGCACCTTTCACTTGGGAGTTCTATCTCCTGCTTTCAGGAAGAATAAAGGAAGGAGAGAGTGCCTTTCTTGCGTCTGCTGTATTTCAAGAGCTGTTAACTCAAAATAATCAATATGCCAATGTGACTTATTTTGAGCTGGCATGTTTTGATTCCCTAAAGTAACAAGACTTAAGTTTAAAAAGGATCAATTTGGCTTTTGAGAGTAGATTGAAGGGGGCAAGGGAAACCAGTTCAAAGGCTGTAGTAGTAAACCAGGTGAGAGATGATGAGCAGTATTCCCCTGTATGCATGTACCACATTTTGTTTATCTGTTTACTTGTTGGTGGACATTTGGGTTGTCTCTACTTTTGGAGCATTGTGACTAAAGTTGGTATGAATTTTTGTCTACAAGCCTTTGTGTGGACATGTTTCCCAGTCTTAAAATAAACCTCTAGGAGTGAAATGACTGGGTCGTGAGATAGGTCTGTACTTGCAAACAATTTTCTAGCGTGGTCGTGTCATTTTACCTTTCCACATACAAGGTAGGAGAGTCACAGTTGCTCCAGGTCCTTGCTGGCAGTTGGTCTTTTTTGATGTCAGCCATTCTGATAGGTGTGTAGTGGTATCTTATTGTGGTTTTAGTTTGCATTTTCCCTTATGGCTAATGATGATGAGAGATGTCTGGGTTTTGATTTTTTTCATCCAGAAAGCTTATTTTATCCTCATTGTTGGAACTTTGCTTCCTTTTAGTTGAGGCTCATAATGACTTTTAAAAATAATCAAAAGATATGATTTATTAAAAGTTTCTAGGGGCCTATATAGTCTCATGGTTTTGTTTTTTTGAAACATTTTAAATGGGAAACTCTAATACTGCCATTAAATTTTAATTAATTAATTTTCATTAAATTTCAATTTTACCTTGAAGTCATTTATGTCCGACAAGATATTTAAGTTTATTTTCTGTTGTGTAGGGTCTATTACTTTATATACTCTATCATTTGGGATGAAAATACATTCCATGTAATAACAACAGGTCTTGGTAAACGTAAATGATCTGAAAATACTTAACTAAACTGAGGATTTGATATTTTTTCCCAGGTTCCTGATGTTATCAGCCGCATAAGGCAGTTATCTAAAGCTGCCATGAAAGAGGACACCAAACCCTGCAAAGATAATGAGGATGCCTTTTACAACTCTCAGAAGTTCGAAGTCTTGTACTGCGGAAAGGTGACAGTGACCCACAAGAAGGCCCCGTCCAGCCTCATCGACGACTGCATAGAAAAGTTCAGCCTGCACGAACAGCAGCGCCTGAAGATCCAGGGCGAGCAGCGCGGTGCGGATCCCAGCGAGGACCTGATGGTCTTTGAGGCTGAGGTGCCCGGGTCCCCTGGTGACAGCCTGCCGGAGGAGGCGGAGGGAGTCAACAGCACCCCCCCTGGCTTACCCTCCGTCGCCAGCCAGCCTGTGCTGGCTCCGTCCAGCTCTCGAGTTTGCTTCCCTGAGCGGATTTTGGAAGATTCTGTCTTTGATGAGCAGCAGGAGTTTCGCTCTCGGTGCAGCAGCGTCACCGGAGTCCTGCAAAGGAAAGTTCACGACAGCAGCCAAAAATCCCAGCCGCGAAGGAGACACGCGAGCGCGCCCAGTCACGTCCAGCCGTCCGATTCCGAGAAGAACAGAACGATGCTCTTTCAGGTACTGCCGGGCAGGGCAAGTGGGGTTCCCCAGCAGAGGTCACGGGGTGCCCCAGCAGAGGTCGGGGTGCTCCAGCAGGGGTCGCAGGGCGCCCCAGCAGAGGTCAAGGGGCGCCCCAGCAGAGGTCGCGGGGTGCCCCAGCAGAGGTCACGGGGTGCCCCAGCAGAGGTCGGGGTGCTCCAGCAGGGGTCGCAGGGCGCCCCAGCAGAGGTCGGGGTGCTCTAGCAGGGGTCGCGGGGTGCCCCAGCAGAGGTCACGGGGTGCCCCAGCAGAGGTCGGGGTGCTCCAGCAGGGGTCGCAGGGCGCCCCAGCAGAGGTCGGGGTGCTCTAGCAGGGGTCGCGGGGTGCCCCAGCAGAGGTCACGGGGTGCCCCAGCAGAGGTCATGGTGTGCTCCAGCAGACGTCGCGGGGTGCCCCAGCAGAAGTCAGGGGGCACCGCAGCAGAGGTCGCGGGGCTCCCCAGCAGAGGTCAGGGGGCGCCCCAACAGAGGTCTCGGGGCGCCCCAGCGGAGGTCGCGGGGTACCCGAGCAGAGGTCGCGGGGTGCCCGAGCAGAGGTCGCGGGGTGCCCGAGCAGAGGTCGCGGGGCAGAAGTGGCCGGGCGCCCGCCTCCTCCCAGTCCCTCACTCTGCCGGCCCCCAGGGGCCACTTCTACGTAGCGAATAGTCGGACTTTTATTTGTTTCCCCCTCAAAGCAGTTAAGGCAGGTGGAGAAAGAGCACAGGAAGGTGGAGAAGGGGCGAGGGGCAGACGTGGAGCGTGGATTTTAAGAAAGAAGGGAATAGGGAAGGAAGAGTAGGGAGAAGAAATTAATGGAGCATCAGAGAAACCTGGTGGGAAGAAGGTAAATAGAAGGTTACTCTCATTATCGGTCACTAGCATTTGCCTTGGGTGGATTCTTAAATCAATTTTTTAAAAAGAGTAACTGCGTAAAGCCAATCTTATAGAGGACTTAAAGATGTGAATCTGGGAGAGTGATTTGGCATGGAGAAAACGGGGGTTTTTATAGAGAGAAAGAAAGGAAAGTGGAGACTTAATATGTTCAGATGAGAACGTACCAACTTATTCTGTCATACAAAAGGGAAGGTTAGAAAAACACCGTCGGCCTGATAACTTAATGGATCAATTGTTAAAATAACTTGATGCAAGTTACAGTATTGGCGTAAAAGGTAATTCTTAATTCTAAAAATAACTTTTGAATGTTACACAAGGTATAGAAAATGTTCAGTTTCACTTAAAAGAACTTAATTCATAACAGTGTCCTGTAGAGGATCTTCAATTCTTTATCAGCTTGTAAGATTTGAGTTTTCTTGAAAAGAAATGAGTGGACTGTTCTTTTATCCTGTTTTGAAGAACCCCTGAGGAGGAAATTCCACAGTTTACTTTGGTAAACAGTCCCAGGGTGTAATATTTGCTTTATCAGAAGTTCATGGTTTTTTTTATTTCTCGTTTCATTAACTCTAGGCATGTAATTAAAGTGTCTCTAATCTTTTTTTTTTTCTTTTTGGTGATATGTTAACTGAGTTTTCCCTTACTTTGGGGCTATCAGATTTGTTTTTTCTTAGCTAGTCATGGTCCTTGTTCTTAATTTTTATGAATAGTTGTTCATTTTCAAAAATTTTAACTTATCAGTCCAATTACAAATGTGTCATTTTGTTAAACATTTGGAAGCATTATTACAACTTTAATAATTGGTATTTTTAGAAATCATGAAGTGAGGAAAGGTTGCATATGTTTTGAAAAAACAATTGTTTCTAATTTGAAAAAAATTGTTTTTATAACTTATAATTTAAGACCAACTTAACTTTCATGATTTTTTGACAACAGGAAGAAATGTTTTGAGCTGATATTTGGACTTAAAATGTGGGTTGGATTGGATGTTGGGGCATATGTGAAATAGGTATATAGCATTTGAATCCATATTTTTAGTTGAATATTTAATTGTAAAGTAAGATGTTAGGTCCTTGTGAGAAATTAATTGGAATGCCTTTTATTTTTCAGGTTGGGCGATTTGAGATTAACCTTATCAGTCCAGACACTAAATCAGTTGTGCTAGAAAAGAATTTCAAAGATATCTCCTCTTGTTCTCAGGTATGTATCAAAGTATATCATAGTATTTGAATAAACCAATTAAATCTGGTTTAAAAGTTAAGCACAAAATAACTCCTTCAAATGTTATATGTTTTCTTTAAAATTTTTATATTTTTAAAGATAATTTGTCTTAAACTGAGTGCTGATGTATTTGTGCCTATGCCAGTAACAAAATCATGTCCAGAACCCTCAGTATCTTTATTTTAGTTACCTCTTTCTTTTCATAATGTTACTTCATCAATTCCTTCCCATGATGGAATTTCTGTGGTGGTGAGCTCTTTTGAAAACACCTTCACAGTTAGCATTCCTCAGAACCTTGGGCAGTGGGACTTACAGGTGTAATTGAGTCATGTCTGCTCTTTATCCCACAGTAGGTAGTAAAAGGGGAACTAGTGTTTTCAACTTATGTTAATATAAGTGCTAAATTTTGAAAAGAATGTTTTGTTATTTTTCTTCTTTGATTTATTTTTAATTCACAAACTATATATTTAAGTGATTTTTAAGTGATACAGCTAAATGTGTACAAGATTATGATATTAGGCATAAAGTAGCGTCCTAAGGACCATAGCAATAATTTATAATATCTATCCCAAAGTTAGAGTTACCTAAATATATTGTAATCATAGAAGGAATTTTTGAAGATTTCAGAATAGAGGGAGTATCTAAATCTAAATGTGGGAAGGTTAAAAATGCAAGGCCCCTCTGAGGAGATCCCTGGAATTGAGAATTAACTCCTTTTCTAGCCCAGTAGCTAATTGTACCTTTGGTAGTTGGGTTTTGCCAAGGTCCCACCTACCTGTATTTTAATGTTGAAAAATCATGACTACCTCTTATTTTTTCTTTTCTTTCTTTCTTTTTAATTTTGGAGTTAGCATTGCTGTTGGTATGATATTCAGACAGTCTTCCCTTTGAAGATGACAGGAGAGTTTTTGTACATTTTGTTAATTGTTTGCCTCAGCCTCTGCCAATACAGTTCCACTTCTAACGTTTTATTTTCCATTTTTTTTATTGTAGTAAAACATATGTAACATAAGGGTTACCATTTTAAGCATTTTTAAACATAAAGTTGCATGGAATTAATTACATTAACAATGCTGTGTAACTACTATCTCTATTTCCAAAACTTTTGTATCGTCTGAAACATAAACTTCGTATCCAATAAGCAGTAATTTATTATTCCTCCCCCCTGGTTTCTAGTAACCTCTAATCTACTGCTGTTTCTGGAAAATTGTTTTTCTTTTTATTTTTTCTTAACTGACTCATATTTATTGTATATATTTATGGAGTACAATGTGATATTTGGGTGCAATATACTGTGCAATGATCATATCAGGGTATTTAGCATATTCATCACATCAAACATTTGTCACTTCTTTGTGTAGGGAACATTCAACAACCTCTCAATTAGCTACTCGATCACTTCTAATAATTGGTTTTAATATTTTTCTACTACGTGGAGATGTAAAATTATGTTGCATAGGTAAGAAATTTCTACTCTAATAACTTAGAGAGTGGCAGCATCTGAATATAGGAAGAATTTATTGCAAATTTCTAAATTCCTGTCTAACGGACATAAAAATCTGGTAAAAAGATTATTTACTTTAACTGAAGAAGTATTTATGAAGCATTCTTATAATTACCTGTTTACTGGGGATCCCTGCAAGATCATAAGCTCTATGGGGGCAAGTGTCTTACTCTGCAGGACAGCAGAATCAGATGTAGTAAGATAAAGCTTAATAGGTGTTCAATAAATGTTGAATGAATGAGCATTTTCTCCCTGTTGAAGCTTGTGCCAAGCAGTGGAGAGAAAGTGGTATATAAACCCAATGTAGTCCCTACCCCACTAGAGCACCAAGAGGCATCCTCAAAAGCTGTGCCTCTCATAGCCTAGTCAGGAAACTAGCATTGCTCATTGAACATCCAAAGGAAAAAATAGAAAGAAAAAAAAAGAACCAGTCAAACCAAACATATAATAATGGGAAGTCCAAATATATAATAAAAGGAAGTTCAAATATTTCTTTTGCTTCTCCTTTTTATTTTTGTTAAAGGCAAGCTTTGTATTCTTATATTCTGGTTTGGGAGAAGGATTACACAAAAGCATGAGGGAAATTTGTGGAAAGGCTTCATCAGAATTATTGTCAGGTTAACCATCTGTTCCTCTCTGACTGGCCCTGTTCTTATTACTACTTTCCATAGAATTGAACTGATATACTGTGGCTGTATTCAGGAACAGATCTGCTTTTAATACTGAACACCTACAAACGTTTCTTTCTTCAAAATCTGTAGGACTGTTTTCCTGGCAAGCGTGGGAAATAAGGGAGTAGTTTTCTTTACTGGAGACATTGCTACTGCCTGAAGACTCACTGAGCTAATGAGGTCCTATGAATTTTCTCCATTTAGTACTAAGCTAGTAAAAGGTATTATTTAATCACTAATGAGTTGTGTACTAAGTTGAGCTTATTTTCACCTCATGAATTGCAACCTTAGTCTTCCTTACTGATATTTTCTTTTTACCAGAATTAATTTTCTTTTTCTATGTCTATTGGATAGATTGAGTTTATTTTAATGAGAATAATGGTTACCATTTATCAAGCATTCCGGGAACTATAATAGATATTTCTTAGTCCTAAATCTCAAACATCTCTGACAATAGGTGCTGTTACTACTATTTTACAATGAGAAATGGAATTTCAGAGATAATTATTAGCAACCCAGCATAATATCTCATACTTTGTAGATTAGTTGAACCAAGATTTAATCACAAATCTGCCTGAATCCAAAGCCTGTTTTCTTTTCACTTGGATTTAGACGATTTCAGGACAACTTTAAATTTTTTGACTACCTGGCTTTTCAAAGTAGTTTGCTTGCTATTAAAATAATAAGGTATTTTCTCTTTATTGGTATGTATGTATTCAGATTGAATGAAAGTCATTCACAGATGACTCTGAATTTTTTATTAAATATGAGGGCACTTCAAAAAGTTAGTGGAGAAACAGAATTAAACGATAATATGAATCATTCCACGAAGTTTTTGAAAACCCCTCATATAGCTGAGGTTATTTAGCTTGGGTCCAGGAAGTACAGTGATTTGTGAAAGTGGATAGTTGGCACCTGAAATAATTTCTTTAATATATCAGTCTTTTAAGTTTGGCTGCTTGAGTGTCTATAAAGAGACAAATATCTATTATTTTTATGCATATTTTAGGAAATTGCGTGCCATTTAATTCAAGTATTATCAGATGTAGTTTTTCTCAGTTTCTTAGCCTCATTAGACAAGAACAAGGTTTATGATGAATCATCAGACCGTCATTCTAAGAAGACAGTAGATTGAAAACTCCATTACTTGCAAACATGGAGTAGCAGTTTGATTACAAGATACACTGGGTCGTGCCCTCAATATTTTTCCTCCTGTGGCCCTGAGTCACTAAGTGTTTATCAGAAACAAAAAAATCTGAATTAGTCTCACCCTTTATTTTTTGTATCAACAGGCCATCGTGTAAGTGTGCTGTGACGTTATGCCACATATCATATTGCTGTAAAGAAGAAATTCATGGAACTGTGAAACCATAGAACCGATGTTGATTTCCATATTGTTGATTAAAAGGATGTATTCCCATGAATCCTGTACTGTGCTTCTTTCCCCCCATCTAGGGTATAAAGCACGTTGATCACTTTGGCTTTATCTGTCGGGAGTCTCCAGAGTCTGGGCTGAGCCAGTATATTTGCTATGTGTTCCAGTGTGCCAGCGAATCTCTGGTAAGTGGTGTCAGTGCTGTCCTCCTGCTCCTGCTGACACACCTGCCTAACGGAAGACTGATCTTTTATGAACCCAAACCTTGCAAAATGCTATCAGCAAGAAAGTTGAGGGCATCTAGAAATATGTTTACACCCCTTAAAGCAGCACAACAGTAGAAAAAATAAAAACAAATTGCCTTGTAATTTTTAAGCCTACCTACTTTCTTGGGTTTAACAACCCTAGTCATGTTACCGTGAGTATTTTTATAAGGTAGGAAAGACTACTACAATGTAATAGGAGAAAAGCTGTTACTTTTTCTGTTCCTCATCTAAGAAGATAAGGAAGGCCATTGACTTATTTTCTTAATTGCTGTAACATCTCAGAGTTTGCTTATATCGACAGAGTAGAGAACTGTTTATTTTTTATTGTTTTCTTTATTTCTTTAGCACCTGTCCTCATTTTAAAAATATTCTTTGTGGTCTTATTTTAATTTTTATTTCCTTTCCTTGGAACTTAAAAGTCAATTATTCTCTCTGGCACCCCTCTCCCCTGCCCCTCTGTTATGGGAGCAATTGACGTTCTACAAGAAGTAGGTAAGGCAGACTTAAAGATATATCTGAGTGATTAAGAAGTAGTTGATTTTTTACCCCTCAAAGTTTTTACTTATTTTTCTACCTGTTCTATCTACCCTAACAATTTTAACACAGACCTTCAGATATATACATCACCAGTCTTTGAAGAGTTTACAGAAAAATGTTTTCTTAGACATATAATCTTCCCACCAGCATTTCTCCCAGGGAAACACATACAACTTAGACATGTACAAATAAGCCAGACAGCATTGTCCTCGTTTCCTTGGTGCATATTACAATCATCTTTGCTTGACTTCTGCCTTCCACATTCCCAGTGTGGACACTGAGGTCAGGAATAGTGAAGAAGTGGAGGTGAATTGGCACAAAGGCACTTTTTCACTAGTGTCCTCTGGGTCTCCACTTTTTTCTCTAGGAGATATAAAACTCCCATCACTGACAGTGTTTTATTCTAGAGAGCTCCATTTGAGGTTTGTTCTTCCTCTAGATAATTAACCACATCTATGAAATAGCCTCATATTGATATCCAGGTAACCACTGCTAAATAGGTTCACTTTAGGATTTGAGATAGAAATTTGAGAGTTGTCATTATTTAAATGATAGCAGAAGGCATGGGGGTGGATGAACACCCAAGGGGGAGAAAGAGAAAGAAAGATAAAGAAAACTGATGGCACGACACTGGAAAATGCCAACCTGTGAAGAGTTTGGTAGAGAGGGATAGTCTAGGATACTCTGCCACCCGTGCCTCACTCCTCGCCCATCCCTACCCACTCACACCTCTCTGTCTCTCTCTGTCCCTCCTCCTGTCTAAGGCTGATCCTTCTACCGTGTTCTAGATCCCTTACTCTCCTACCTTTCCCAAACCTATCATATATCTCATATTGTTTTATTTTGGCATCGTCATTTACCCGATTTCCCTATTTAGAAACCCTCATGCATTCTCTTTCACCTTCTATATCCAGTTGTTCACCAAATCCTATTGACTTGAAGACAGAAATGTCTCTTTTATCCATCTCTCCTTTTCTTCTTTGCTGCCTGATTCTGGGCATTCATGTTCTTTACTTGGATTCTCGTATTAGTGTCCTACCTAGTCTTCTTGCCATGGGTTTAATCTGTCATCTGTTCATTTTCTGCATTGTGCTATGGTTTCATTTCTCACCCAGTTTCCTCACTGGAGCCGTTTATGCCTCATTGTTAAGGGATGAAATCGCGACTGTTTAGCATTCAGCTGGGCCTTCTTCATTCTCCAGCCTCATCTCTTGTTATTTCTCACATAGACTGCAATGTTAAGCTCTTTTATGACTGTGTCTTAGCACGTGTTCCATGTCACAAGCTGTTTTCTAGGCCAGACCACAAAGGCTGGTTGGATGATTGGTGTGATGTTGCTTTTATTTTGGTTTGTTACTGAAACCAGCAAATGATTAGTGTGTGGGACACACATGAGATCAAGGATTTGAGTGAATGGCTGCAGCTCTGTGAAGGCCCCTTGTGGCTCACAGAAGTGCAGGGGAAGCTCAGAGGTCACTGTTCACTGTTTGGAGCGAGGAATCTGCCTTGTAGAGGAGGCCAGAACCAGGGCTTGCTGCCTTTTACACTGTCAGGCTTGGGGAGGGGGCTATGGCAGCCTCAAGAGTCCACCCTTCTACTAAACAAAGAGATTGTGCAGTGCTTTAGTTACCTATTTTTACCCTCTCTTACTGCTTCATTGGAAGTAAAGTAGGACTTGCCTTGCTCAACTAACCTGAATACCCTTCCCCTTTTCTATTACATATTTTTCAGAACCCAGCTGAAATATCACATCCTACTGAAGCCTTTTCTGACTTTTTTCCCTTCAGGAATTGATTCCTTTAGTTGCTATATTGTCTGTGCTCTTACTATACTTTGTGCAGAGGTCTCTAACAGTCTCTGCCAATCCCTATACTCATTTATTTGTTTACATAACCATCTGCTCCACTAGATTGTTAATTTCACAAAATTAGCACCATTGCTTATTCATGTTGTATCTTGGGGTTTCTCGAATGGCAGGTGCTTGATATTTTTGCATTTCAAGTAATTGAATGAATGCATTACTCTTAACTTCAGGCAGTCATTTTCTAGGTGCTGCTTAATCTTGGATCACTAGATAACTTGCAGTAAATGGAAAACCTTCTTATTTCTAATATCTTTAACAGGTTTTGTTTTGGTTTTAGTTTTTAGCATTTTCATTCTTTCCTTATGCATGTCAAATGAGTTTTGGGGATGGGATCACAGTTGAAAGTCTGGGGACATGTTGCATTTTACCACCCAGAATGCTCTGTGACAAGGGCAACAGACTGTATTGGCTGCGAATGCTTTCCTATTGCTTGAAGCAGTATCAGAATCTGAGTTTTGGCATCATTATTCTTTTACTTTTATTTTTAACAAAAATCTCTTTAATTTTATCAGTAAGCATCTTAGCTGAATAGTGAGGCATCAGAACTGTGAGCTTAAAGAAAAATTAAAGTGAAGATTTCCTGCATAATAGGGGATGGCTCAAGCAGCTGACATATAGAATAAAACAAAATACTCAGTTAAATATTGTCAGTCTACGCAGTGTTATGATTGATATGGCTTGGCAATTGTGTAAGACAAAGTATTGCAAAACCATGAATGTTGACTTATCTTCTTTGAGAACCCACAATTAACATTTTCTTTTGTTATGAATTTGTAAACAGTATAGTGTTCTGATGGGCCCTGAAGTGTTAGGCTGGAAGTTTAGATGCTCACTACTCTCCTTCCTACCTTTCTTCCTTTTTAAAAATAGCTGTAGGCAGGTAGCTTAATCTTGTTTAACGAACCCTTGAGCTTTGTAGAAAATATAGTTTCTTCAGAAGTGTTTTCTTTAAAATTGGTTTAAAGAGTGTGAAAAAAAGCTCAAGTCACTGTTATTTATACACACACACACGCGCGCGCAGACACACACACACACACACAAGCAAATTCCAATGACACAGTCAAAGTATTCAGGGAGAGTATAAACAAACAAACAAACAAAAAGCCCTTGGCTATCCAAGACCCAGAATTGTATGGGATTAATAGTTAATGAAATAAAATGGTATTTCATTAGAAATGAAATATTAGCATATTGATAGAGCAATGGGGTACAAAGACTAGGAAGTTATTTTTCTCTTACGTCTGGTGTTGATTATACTTGTAAACATAAATTTCTGACAAGAATCAAGCAAAGTGGGGAGGATGGCAGGTAAAGAAACAAGTTTAGGTTTGGGAATCAGCATTTAATAATGAGGAAAAGTTGCAGATGTTTCAGAGAAGAACAATACTCTATGAAAAGTTCCTCATTTGAAGAAAAACAGAAGTAATTTGCACACGTTAGCCTAGGAACGAGAAGTATAGGACATGGCTCTAAGCATATAAGCAGTCATGTGAGAATTCACATACAGCGTAATGTGATAAGTGAGCTTAAAATCTAAAAATGTGGAAAACACTTCGATATGTGGGTGATCCATTAGCCACGGAACTACACCACTGCCTTCATGTTAACTGTTAAAACAGAATTGTTGCTGTTCTCTACTGGATAGTTTGAAAATTTAAATTTTTCCAGAGAATGAGGCTACATAATATTTTGAAGTCCTTAAATGTTCTCTGATTCTTAGACTTATTCTAAAATGCTATAAATACCCAAGTTTGGTATGTAAATGTTTATGAGCATTATTGTTACTACGGATTTCCCCTTAATATAATAAATTGGTCTTTTTCCCATGTCATGCTTTTCACTGGGAATTTAATTTTGCCTGATGGTAATGGCAAGAATCCTCACTTTCTTTTTGGTTGCATATGACTGATTTATCTTTGCCCATTCCTTTGCTTTTAACCTTTTGACATGACCGATGATTTTGCTGTTGTTGTATCTAGAGTAAAGTAATTAAGTTATTCATAGTACGCTAATTTGAACTTTTAGTTGCACTGATCCCAGGATAGAACTTATAGGTCAGCTGGAAAATGTGGTGGATTTTAGAAAATAAAACACTTAAAATTTTAGAAGGCATATAAAGGTTTGAGTAATATTTGTGGCTGGGAGAAGTTGGTAGCCAAATTTCATACAGCATTGAAACAACCGCTTGTTTCATCTCAAAATAGAGAAGAAAATACCAAAGTTCGATATCTACTGGAAGTCTTTTACAAGGCGGTGTTGTTAAGTAACAAGTAACCTGTATAAAAGCTATTTATATTACTAACCAGATTAATAATTCCTTCAGTGTCTTAAATAAAAGAGAAACAAGAAAATAGAAATAAATTAACATCTGCGTAAATAATTAAAGCTGCTTTTGAACATATAACAAGGCAAAATCAATCAAAACAAAACAAAGGCATTAAAATGTATTGCTTTTATTTCCAATAAATAGCAATCATTATTTTGTAATTACAGAATAAAATATTTTATGCATAATTCATTTTTAATCATGAAGTGATGTAAAATTATTCATGCCGTTTTAATTGATAATATAATGAAAACAACTGAATAATGGATGACTGCTTAATGTTTGATCTCTTCTGCCAGTAATATTAGAAGAATAAAGCTTCTTTTTATTCCAGGTTCCTCAAACAATCGAATGCAGAAATAGATTAAATCCTTTAAATAATAATATATTCTTAAAGCAGCTGTAGGGAAAGGGGAAAAAGAGAGAAAAGAAATGGTTTACCAAGCATGGTAAATGGTTTTGAATATCAAAGCTAGTTCGGATGAGGTCCTTAGTACCCAGTAGCTCTGCCACGCAGGTTTTAGAATTTGATCTAAGTTCTGCAGAGTGTGGGAAAACTTACACTACGTTGGCGATTGTGTTACAGAAAAGAAGATACAACCTGAAGTTGGTTTAACCACACGTGAGGGTGAGTTGTTAGTTGGTTTCAAAGACGCAATGAGGAAAACTAGAGGCTAGATTCAAACTTCTTGACTGGATCAGTGGAAGAAAGAAAGAAATTAGCTGACAGTTTGCAAGCTGATTGCCTAATGGTTAGACCCAGCTTATTAGACACTATGATGCCAGGACTTCTCAGTGTCACAAATCAGAAGCGGAGCAATGATAAATCTGAAGCTACAGAGATAAGATGAGCAACGTTCATAGACTTTACCTACCATTATTTAAATTGAACTCATTTTCCCCCAGAATTTCACTAAAATACATGTTTTGTTTCTTTTTACACTAAAAGTGATCCAGAAGAATACAGTAAATAGGATAGGTATTAACACGGGTGAATGTTGAACCTATTTTGTTGCTCCCTATATATTGCAAATAAAACTTCCAAAGAAGTCTTTATCTGATAAACTATTTAGTTAAACAGAGACCTGACCAACTAATTAAACTGCCTGTGATAGCATGGGCCTCACTGGTATTTGAAAATAGCATTCAAGTACCAGATCAGTATTATATTACACACATTAAAATGGTCTTAATTCATCCAGCTTTCAATTATAAATGTATGAAAGGTCTATCTTCAAGATGTAATATTTTGTCTGCCAGATATGCAATCATCAAAATTCCATGTTTATTATTTCATCAGCATCAATAAAGGCTCACATTACTGTTGAGTTTTTAATGTGTTACCATGAAAGCAAACTTTTACAGACTCGAATTTTGTTTCTTCTTGTAGGTGGATGAGGTAATGCTGACTCTGAAACAGGCTTTCAGTACGGCTGCTGCCTTGCAGAATGCCAAGACCCAGATTAAGCTGTGTGAAGCCTGCCCTATGCACTCTTTGCATAAGCTCTGTGAAAGGATTGAAGGTACAGTATAACTTGGCCTTGGCAAGAGAGGAGTTTGCTTTGGCATTTGGAAAACGAGAAAGTCCCTGCTGTCACTGAATAGTTCTTTGTTTCTATGTGAAACAAAAACCCAAAGAATCATTTCTCGTGTCCAGTCAAATTTGAGTGTGCTGTCAGTCTCTTCTAGGTGCTTGACTTTTTTCTCTTTCTTTCTCTCTCAATCTCTTTCATTTTGTTTTTTCATCTGAAGGCAAACTCAAGGGAGGGATTTGTATTTCCCACAGTTCTTAAGACTCTGTTGTGTACACAGTGGGAACTGACAAAATATTCGTTGAATGAATGAATAGAGGCAAAACCATTACAGAATGTCAACTGTTTATTTAATTCTTTTAATTCTTCTTTTTTCCCCTCTTGCTTTGTGATGTGTTCCTTTTCTCTAAAAGTTTAGAACTGTAATGAAACTTGCTTGCCTTTTAAGGGACATTTGTGAAAGACAGAGATAATAGAGTGGACATCATAAAGCAGTTTTTTTTTTTAATGTGTTCTGAGGAGCAGGGGAATGACATGAGGGAAAGGTGACCCTATGACTCAACTTCTCTTTCTTATCGTTATCACTTACTAACAAAAAGCTTGAAAACTATGATACAAAAAAAGAAACGCAATTTAATAAACACTTGAACACTTGTAAAGTGTCTACTATGGTCCAGGCAACATGCTAGGAACTGGTTATACAGAAATGATTGGGACATGAACTGTGCCTCTGGAAAGCTTCCACAGTCTAGAATGGAAGACAGTCATGTGAGCAAATAAATGCAATTCAGTGTGTGATAGGTGTTATAACAGATGGGAAGATGCAGACTCTAGCAAAAAACAGAGAATGGTCTAGTCATGGTGAATGCAAATTGGAGAATCATAGGCATGAGGCATAAACAGTGATGGACGGCAGTATTTATTGAATCTCCATACAACTATGTGATCAAGGACTATTTTAATGTAATATTCAGAATTTAAAATATATAATCATAATTTTACAGAATGCACATTATTTTCGAACTTGTAAAATATTGACAAAAATGGAACATTCTTTGCTGTGTGGTAAAGGGAGCATTTTCAATCTGTAGGAGGAAAGTCTGTATTGCTCAATTAGCTGTCCGAAGGGGGAATGATTCCTCCCACTAATCTACTCAAAATATATTCTAGATGGACCAAAGTCTTTAGTGTAAACTAACAAAACATTAAAATCATTAAAAGAAAACAAAAAGAATATTCTCATTCCTTGACAAAAGAGGGCTTTCTTAAGATGCAAAAATGCAAAAACTGTTAGAAGATGTTGACACATTTGACTTTATGAAAATTTAAAGTGTTTATGTAACAATAATTGCTTTTTTGGAAGTTAAATGATAAACAACGAACAAGGAGATAGCAGATTGGTATCCAGAATTTGTAAGAACTTTATAAGAAAAAGATAAAACAATCCAGTAGGAAATTGCACAGAGAATGTCAAAAAATACATCTCAGAAAAGGAAAGTAAAAGGTCCAATAATGAAAGTGAGACGATGCTAAACCTCACTCAATGTCAGAGAAATGAAAATAAAATACAGTAAGATACTCATCAGATTAACTGTTGGAAAAATTGTAAGCATATTGATACATTTTTTGTAATATTGATGGGAATGTAAATTGGTATAGCCATTTTTTGGGGACAATTAATATAAACTTATTAATCTAAACTTGTACATACCCTGTGAACCAGAAGTTCCATGTCTCAATAAGAGAAACTCTTATATTAGGGCAGAAACTGACATTTTCAAGGTTGCATTATTTGTAAATAATGGAAAATTGGAAACAACCTAAATGTCAATCAGTAGCATAATTGAAGTATGTTCATGCAATGAAGCAATAAATGAGAATGAATTTGAACTGTATGTCGACATGAATACATCTTAAAATTATATTGTTGAGTGATAAAATAATTTTCTGAATAACATATACAGCATACATATCCTACATCTGGAAAAATACATAGAATAATACCATGTATTTATTTTTTAAACAACTTTGGTCTACTTTTAGATTTACAGAAAAGTTGCAGTTTCCAAATATTCCTCCCCGCCACCCATTGTTAACATCTCATACAGCCATGGTGCAATGATCAGAAAAGAGAATTAACATCGGTACAAGGCTGCCATCCAAGCTAAACACTTCATTTGATCTTCACAAGTTTTCTCAGTTATACGCTTTTTTGGTTCCAGGACCCCAGTCAGGGTCCCACATTGTACGTAGTTGTTATTTCTCCCTGGTCTCCTGAAGTCTGCATGCGACTTTTCATCATCCTTTCCTTGTCTCTCATGACCATGACATCCCCAAAGAGTGCTGCTCAGTCATTTTGCTGAATGTCCCTCAATTCGGCCTGTCTGGTGTCTTCCCAAGATTGGACTGAGGTCACTCATCCCCGGCAGGAGCACTGTGGAGATGATGATTCACCCTTCCCAGTGCATCGTATCATGGGGCTCATGATGCTGATTAGTTTTATTACTTGTGACGTTGGCCTTGTCACCTGGCTCAGATGGTCAGAGGGATTTTCCAGTGTAAACTTACCATTGTTTCCCTGGAGTCAACAAATATTTTAGGGGAGGTGGTTTGAATATACGCAAATATCTTTTCTCTGACAGTTTTGACCACCGATTCTAGCATTTATCAAAGGTAAACTTAACTGTATCTATAATGTTTTAATACTTTGAAAATACAGAACTTATTATATTACTTGGGTAATTAAAAATAAAGCAAAAATATATATTTATAGAAAAAGATCCGGCAGCAAATATGCCTCAAATGTACGTATAAATGTAACTACCTTTTTTATCTTTCCTTTTCTCTTATTCATCTTTTATCCTCTTAGTCATGTTAATTAGTCACTTCAGTTATAAACAACACAAAACAAAGCAAAAACAATCATGTGAATCAATGTCATAATATTTATCTAAGAGACTCTTAAGGAGACTTTTCTAGCAAATAATAAGCTATGATAAGTATTATACCAACAAAATGAATTTTAGTTTTCTGTATGTGATCACAGAGACTTTCACAGAATTTTGCTGTATGTTGCACAAAGAAAGGTGGAGCTGAGAAGTTTCAGAAACTTGTCTTCTTTTTCCCATTGTATACTGCACAGTGGTTTAGCACAGGTCCAGTGGTAGAATGGCCACAGTATGTCTGCACTGTAGGCATTCTGGCAGTCATGAAAGGATTTCAGTTTTTTAAAAACAATGTATATTTTAAAGTGATTCTCTCCCATACTATCTGCAGAGATATTGATAGTTCCTTAATAGAAAAAAAGTAGCTCAAATGGGATCAAATCAGCTTATTTCAATTAGCTGTCACCTCTTACTGTCTTAGAAATAAAAACAGTTAAAGAACTGTACAGTTTGCTTATAGACTATCACACTGTTTATTTTTATATTTTGTAATGCAACTTAGCAAATTGTAAGAAAGTATTCTTGGCCAGTTACTTTGTCTTACTCTTTGTAAATAAAAATAACGAATACATGGACAATATTCAAATTATAGCTTAACATCATGTAATGTATTTAACTGTAACCTGAGAAAGGTGGCCTTATAATAACAAATGCTTTTAAAATGCCAGTCTGTATCTATAATGTTTATTAAATATTCTGTATAGCTAGATATCCTCTTTATAAACCAAATATAGTAGCAATACTATAAGTGGCTCCTAACTATGTAATGGAAAAATGTTTCTTAAAAATGGATGGACAATTGAATTATTGTAAATATGAATTAAACTCTCTCTCTTTTTAAAAAATGATAAAAACGAATGTTTTCATGGAAAAAACTAAGGACTTAATATAAATTATGTGTAAGAATGTGATGGATTTGCAAATATCATGATACAAAGAAGTGAACAATTTCTAGGTAAAATAATAACACCGAATGTGTATTATATACTAATGCCATCATTGAATCCTTATTCCCACAGAACAGGAGCCGCATGTGGGGGAGAGATCCCTGTCTCAGTTGTAGTCCTGCCTTTTAATATTATTGGTTATTCTTTCTTTTTTTAAATGTCAAGTTGTAAGCTTAGAGCTTTTGGCCAAGGCTAGTATTTAGTGTGTATTTCCATGTCAGTTCCTAGGATAATGTTAATTCACCTGTGAGTTTCTCGGGTAGCCAAGTTTGTTAGTATATGAGAGTACTTCAAAAAATTCATGGAAAAATAGAATTAAAAGAAGCTACGAATTTCACCATGAACTGTTTGGAGTACCCTTGTATTAAGTAGTTTCTGGTTGTGCTTGGTATCATTTAGAAATTCATTTTTAGTAATCCTAACTCCAGGATCACTGTAGGGGGCTGTTGGTTTTGGTGGAGAGGTTTTTCATCTAGTTTTAATCGTTTCAGTGATTCCAAGTGTTCCAAGGTTTGTTGTAGGCAGGAACACGTTTCCATAAGAAGATTTACTTTCAGAGCCTGCTGTGGAAGGGGTGAATGCCGTGCATTCTGTCCACTTAAATCCCTGCTGCGAGACTCTGTTTAACACCTTCCCTCATCATTTTTCTTAGGTCTCTACCCTCCCAGAGCCAAGCTGGTCATACAGAGGCATCTCTCATCACTGACAGATAATGAACAAGCTGACATCTTTGAGCGAGTTCGGGTAACATTATTTGTAGTTCTCATAAATAAGATATAAGCAATGAGAATTGGATCCTGTTTTCTCATTCCTCTATCTGAAATTAAAGATATATGTCCTATAGTACTATTCGGTGGAACTAGAATGCTGTCGTTCCTTCTGCTTCTGAGTGCAGGTTTATTAATGTTTGTCTGCCAGGGAGATAAAACCAGTGAGAATAAAATAGGAGAGAAGGTGTGTTGCCATAGTGTCCTCTTGGTTTTTCTTTTCAACAGAAAATGAAGCCAGTCAGTGACCAGGAAGAAAATGAACTTGTGATTTTACACCTGCGGCAATTGTGTGAGGCCAAGCAGAAGACACACGTGCACATTGGGGAAGGCCCATCGGTGAGAAAGATTTCTCCTTGACCTACTTTTTTTTGTTGATGTATTTAGTTAAAATATCACAGAAGGCATGAAGGGAGTTTCTCTCCTTTGTGCTCTCATCTTTAGGGCTGTAGTCCTACAAGAAATTTTTTTTCAACATTGTAGTAGCTTTACAGAAAATTATAGCAGGCACTGGCACATTGAGATAAAATAATGATGGTTTTAAAAAAATTTGTGGTTTTTGGTTAAAAAAAGCAGTAACGATAAAAATTCATGATTTAGAATGAGCATACTTTTTTTTAGTTACATTAATCTATTATTTTATTTCAAATTCGTATGAACATTTTATTTCATCAAAAGCTTCTACAGCTCCCATGATGAAAAGCATGGACCAAAGCAGCAGTAAAATGTAAATGTCTACTCTAGCTGCAAACTACAAGATGGTGTTTTTGTGCATGCGGTTTAGAATTTAATCCCAGCTGCATATAGATAAAGCAGGACCACCAGCAACAGCATGGAAAGGGATCATGATATGTTTACTTCTTAATAATACTAAGTCAGGTTAATGTCTTCATTTCACTGTATTCAGAACAAATCACATATTATTAGTACACATATCTTCAGTTGCTCTTTGAACAAGCACTTCTTGAGAATCCTCTGTCAGGTAAGCTGTGAGATAATGGTGACAAAAAAGTGATGAATGAATGATGTCCCCTTCAGAGAAGAGCTTAAATATTTGATAGGGGAATGCAAACAGATAAATAGATCTATAAATACAGTCAGTAAGTGGCTTTTGAAAAGAATGTATATAAAAAAGTAGCTATGTCTTTGTTTTTAGCTGGAGTGGAGAGTAAGGGTAAGGGAAGATTTAAAGAATTGAAGAGAGTGGCCGGTTAGCTCAGTTGTTAGCTTGTTGTAACACACCAAGGTCAAGAGCTTGGATCCCCTTAGTGGACAGCTGAAAAAAAAAAAAAAAAAAAAAAGAATTCAAGAGAGGGGGAAGATTGCTGATTTAGGGGAGAAAAAGCTTGCTATCAGTGAAGTTGAGGAAGTGTGTTCTAAGAAAGGAACATTGAGCATGAAGTTCTGTAGTAGTGTGGCTGAATGAACTCGATGCAAGCATTTGGAAGTAGGTACTGGTTTATAGGGTGTGCTTGGGGAGTGGTGGGGGAACAAGGCTGGAAGGACAGGCAGAGTTAAGATGATGAGGGACCTTAAGTGGCAGGCCTGACTTTGTCATGGAGGGATTTCAAGTAAGAGAGTGAGAAGATGAGATTTGCACTTGAAAGAGATAATTCTGCTGTCCCTTTGATGGCAGATTTGTGGGGAGGTTGGTAGGTGAGGGGGTTGAGAGTATTAGGATTGAAGTCACAACTGGGATAATCCTCTAAGTAGGAGAATTTTGTAATGCAATATGCAAGAGTAATTTAATTATTGCACAAACCTTTATGAAGTGCATGCTATGTAGTAGGCAATGATGGTGAATAACGACAGTCCTTTCCTGCCATCTAACTGTTTAGGAGGAGAAACCAACACGTAGTTAAAAAATATGATGTGATTGGTGCAATGATGTAAGCATGCACAAGATAGAGGTAGTGCTAGTACATAAGTAAGTTGAGTCATTCTGTCTTGAAAAATGTATTTGACTCAGGAGAGAGGCCGAACTAGAACTTCAGCACTGGAGAAGTGAGGAGGAGACTGAGTGAAGAGCTATTGATCGTTGTTAGGACTTGGTGACTGACTGGATGGATCTTTAAAAGAAGGAGAGGGAGTTGCTGGGAATGATTTCATGGTTTCAGATTTGGGGAAACTGGATGAAACTGAGCTAGAAAATACAGAAAGAAGACTAGGGTGGGGCAGGGGATGAGAATAAAAAGTAAGAGTTCAATTTGGAAATGTGTTTGCGATTCAGTTAGAAAAATGGATTTGGTGCTCATAGAGAAATTTGAGTTGATAGGATAAATATGGAAGACATGAGCTTTGGCACTGATTTGAAGTCAGAAAAATATACTTGGGACGAGCATTTCTTTGTGACAGAGGGCGCTAAAGATCATAGAGGAGGAAATTTTAAGAAATGCCTTATGTTGATAGTAGTTAAGTTTCTCCCTCTACCCCTCTTTCCTTTCCTTTCTTCCTTCCATTTATTCAATTGGTATTTACTGAGCAGCTACTACATGTTAGACATTGTGCTAAATGCCAATATGGTGTCCCTGTTTTTGTCTTGTCATTCATCTGAAAGCCTTAGAATAATGAGCAATCTTAGTCCTTTGTACGTACTCTAAGCCTAGTCCAGCCCACATCCATATCCATTGTTTTCTCTCGTTTCCTTTCTTTCCTTGGTGGGGACTATATTTCTTGCATCAGTAATTTTTATGATTTTGCCAACTATCCCCAGTTCTGGGGAAGTCCTCATCCCTTTTATCCTGCCTGTCTGAATCTTGTGTATCCTTTTCTTCTTGACCACAGACCCACAACCAATCTTCATGCTTTTGTATTTGATACACATCTGTGCTTTGTGTTGTAATTCTCTCCCCAAGCATATTATAGAGTTTCTCTCTTGAAAGTTTTGTGGCAGTAAGGACTGTGTAATGTATGTAGTAGCTGCTTACTTCAGTGTGATGAAATAGAGAGCCTAATGTAGTGGACACATCATAGATTCTCATGCAGTTTAGTGCTGTACTATCAGTGAATACTTGATCTAGAATATAAATGACCCATTCACAAATAAAATGGTATTATAACAGAGGCATTAGAAGAATCCAGTATTATTTGGAAGATGCCTTCTTCTTTGAGACTTATTTCCTGTGTTTTCCCTGGATATAAAATGTGCAGTTTGGAAAGAGATGGTTATAGTTACTAACCAAAATAATAGCAGTAAAAATTGACATCTCAAGTTTAATTTTTGTTAAATGCAGCAGGAATATATAAAGTGGAAAGGAAAGGCATAAAGGAAAGATCTTATTTCTGTCATCTATATTACTTACAATATTAAAAATTAAACTTTTTTCCTTACAATCTTTGTGTTCATAGTGTGGAACCTAAATCATTACTTCTTAATAGAGCTACTGAAGAATTCTTGTGTTTTTAATGGCTTAGTCTTAAGCTTGTATTTAAAGCCTCATTTAACATTGAGTATTTCCAAATTAAAATGTATCTGTTTTTCTTTCTCTAGACTATTTCAAATAGTACAATCCCAGAAAATGCAACAAGCAGTGGAAGGTTCAAACTTGACATTCTGAAAAATAAAGCTAAGAGATCCTTAACTAGCTCCCTGGAAAATATCTTCTCAAGGGTAAGAGTAAACTGAGGACCTTTTAGGTATATATGTTTATGTTTTCTAATTATTTTGCTTCTTTCTCAGTGGCTCACAAATTTTCTTGCAAAAACAAAACCTACTAAGATAACTTTAAATGAGTTAACACTTACATAAAATGATCTCTCAAAATAAATTTTCTTCTCAGATTTAAATTTTTTTTCTGGGACCTCTGATATCTGAATTTGAGCAATAAACATTTAGTAGTAGAAATACAGTTATGCACCACATAAAGATGTTTTGGTTAATGATGGACTGCATGTACGGTGGTGGGCCCATAAGTTTATAAAGGTGCTGAAAATTCCTACCACCTCATGACGCCGTAGTACAATGAATCACTCATGTGTTTGTGGTGGTGCTGGTGTAAATAACCTTGCTGTGCTGCCAGTTATATAACAGTCTGGCACATACAATTATGTACAGTACATAATACTTGGTAATGATAAGAAATGACTATGTTCCCAGTTTATGTATTAACTACACTATACTTTAAATAATTATTTTCGATTGTATTTCTTCTACTTATTAAAAAAAAGTTAACTGTAAAACAGGCTCAGGCAGGTCCTTCAGGAGGTATTCCAGAAGAAGGCATTGTTATTATAGGAGGTGACAACTTCATGTGTGTTAATATCCCTGAAGACCTTCCAATGGGACAAGTCGTGGAGGTAGAAAATGATGATATTGATGTCCCGACCCTATGTAGACCGAGGCTAATGTGTGTGCTTGTGTCTTAATTTTTAACAAAAAAGTTTAAACAGTAAAAAATATAAAGTACAACATTTAAAAATATTTAAAAATTTGGGCAGACCCCATGGCGCACTCGGGAGAGTGTGGTGCGGGGAGTGCAGCGACGCTCCCGCCGCCGGTTCGGATCCTATATAGGGATGGCCGGTGCGCTCACTGGCTGAGCGTGGTGCGGGCGACACCCCACCAAGGGTTGCGTTCCCCTTACCGGTCATGAAAAAGACCAAAAAAAAAAAAAAAAAAAAATTTAAAAAAAAAAAAAAAAAAAAATTTAAAAAAAAAAAAAAAAAAAAATTTAAAAAAAAAAAAAAAAAAAAATTTAAAAAAAAAAAAAAAAAAAAATTTAAAAAAAAAAAAAAAAAAAAATTTAAAAAAAAAAAAAAAAAAAAATTTAAAAAAAAAAAAAAAAAAAAATTTAAAAAAAAAAAAAAAAAAAAATTTAAAAAAAAAAAAAAAAAAAAATTTAAAAAAAAAAAAAAAAAAAAATTTAAAAAAAAAAAAAAAAAAAAATTTAAAAAAAAAAAAAAAAAAAAAAAAAAAAAATTAAAAATTTATAGAATAAGGAAATAAAGAAAATATTTTTTGTACTGCTGTACAACGTGCTTGTGTTTTAAGTTGTGTGTTATTACAAAAGACTCAAAAAGTTAAAAAAATTAAAAAGTTTATAAAGTAAAAATGTTATTAAGCTAAGGTTAATTTATTATTGAAGAAAGGAAGACTTTTTTTTACAGATTTAGTGTAGCCTGAGTGCACGGTGTATATAAAGTCTATAGTGGTGCACAGTAATGTCCTAGGCCTTCACATTGACTCACCATTTGTATTTTTACTGTATCTTTTCTATGTGTAGATATGCTTAGACATACAAATACTTAAAATTGCGTTACAGTTGCCTACAGCATTTAGTACAGCAACATGCTGTACAGGTTTGGAGCCTAGGAGACATAGGCTGTCCCATATAGATTAGGTGTGTAGAAGGCTATGCCATCTAGGTCTGTGTAAGTACACTCTGTGATGTTCCCACAATGACAGAATTGTGTAATGATGCTTTTCTCAGATGTATCCCTGTCATTAAGTGATGCATGACTGTATATATTATATAGAAAAGGGGAAATAAAATATTGATGCTCAATACTGTAAGGACTTTTAAAAATCATTTCCCACATAAATTTATAAAGAAGCCCTTTTTTTTGCTCATTCTTAGGCTTACAGGAAATGCTGAAAATAGTATAAATTAATGAAAATTTATGTATTCCATTTAGTAAATTTATATATTCTATTTAAAAATAAGTAAAATGGTTCCCATTCCACTTCACTTTCCTCTTCCTGAACCATTCAAACTTCAAGTTATTAGGTGAGATCAAGCTAGGTAGGTGTCTTGGGACTGGAGGGCAGGGGAGCCCTGGTAGCTCAGAGCAGGGACACATGCCTATATGGGGTGCAGAGTGTGAGGATGGCCTGATGCAGTGTGTGGGTGCTCTGTGTAGTGAGGAGGCTATCAGCAGAGGAGGGCAAGCTGGTTTTGGAAGTTGGAGGAGGAGGGTCTCCCTGCAGCATGCGGGGGTCAGAGCCACAGTGGAGGGGAGAAGAAAGTCCCAGAAGAGTGCCCAGTATGAGGAGGTGGAGTCTGAGCAGGGTAAGGATGTTTATGGGTGGGAGTGGTGGTCTCCCAGAGTGGCTCTCGCAACCTGAGTGGGGTGAGAAGAGTGTCGTACAGCGGTGGTGTGGAGATTGGACATACAGAAGGACTGATCAGATAAGTAAATGTATTAAGGATAGTGGGATCCAGGCAGAAGGGAACTACAGATATGAAATGGGAGGGAATTAGAAAGAATCCTATGTGATTCAACTTGGAGGTATCAGTACGAAATAATGGTTTTTCATATATATATATATATATATATATATAATGTATTAATACACACATGCATGTGTGTTTGTATAAATTTGTACACATAGCCCCTGGCTCTGTCAACTGAGAGAACCTGGGAATAGTTTTTCTATACACACCAGATAAGCCCAGTTGGGTGGCATCTAGCCAGATTTTGGTTTCCATATATTCTTCTTCTTTAGAAGGAAACAGAATCTGGGGAGAAAGGGCTAATTCCAGGCCTGCAGGGAAAGTACACAAGTCTGGAACATCTTCGTGCTCCAGGTAGTATGAAAGTGCTTGAAGAAAGATGGTGATATGTCGTCATGACATTAAAACCTCGAAAGGGTTCCCACTGGTGAAAAACAAAATGATTACTGGAAACTTGATTTTCATATACACCTCACAAAGTCCACTCAGGGTGGTTTTCTTTTTTTTATCTTTATGTATTAGTAGGTCAGACTATTAATTGGTCAGAAATACTGCATTGTACTGCTACTGTCAATAAGGCTGTTTCCTTCACCCAGCACAGTTCATGTGCACACCAGGTAGTTAGAGGGTTGGGTGGTAGGTGTTTTAACTTCTTTGAATAAGATTTCAGAATGTGCTCTTGATAACTTTTTTAAAAAGTCCTTTGGCCATTTTGTTAACACAGAAAGAAAATTTCACCAGGGGAAGAAAATTCTTCAATGATCTTTCTCCATATAAATTCTTAGGCTTTGGGACTTTGAAGTAACCATTTAACTGTGCAAATGTGTGTTGCTTTTAAAAATACCATTTAGGTCTGTTTAACATTAATAGCATTACAAGAATATGTTTAGTCAAATACTTGGATACATTTTGAGTGTTTCCATGTTTGTGCGGTTGGACACAGTAACTTCTGATTTCTGGTGTTCTTAGTTTTATATCTTTGCTATGGCTCAAAATACTTTTATACGGATTTCTTTTAATGACTGAGACTCTTCTACTTTTAACAAAAGCTCTGCAGCAAGCATGGTCAGCTGTGAATACCATTATTTTGTTAGGAGAAGGTAGACTCTCAGAAAATAAAATCTAGGAGATTTGTCAGAAGTGTGTTAATGCAGCTTTTCATAAAATTTTCATTCCTTTTTGTTTCAGAATTTGTAAATTAGTCTTCCTCCCTCCCTCCCTCCCTCCCT